GTTTTCTAAGAGAAATAGAAAAGCTGTTGAAACATTATCTTTATTTCGTTACACGAAGATTAGTAACTATTGCCAATCTTCACTGTTTATTTTATTTTAACGGTAAGAAAATTGTTCTTTCTAGTATAGCAAGTTTACTTACACCATTAAGCTTAGCTTATTGAGTTATGGATGATGGAAATAATCATGGATCGGGTTTTATTTTAAATGCTAGTGTACTTAGTTTAGTAGATTTAGCTGTATTGCAAAATGATATATTAAATAATTGAGGTATTGAAACATCAATACACAGTGAAAATAAAATTTATATATGATCTAGATCAAAAGTTAAATATATAAATTTAATTAAACCATATTTACATATGTCTATGATGTATAAAATCCAAGATTTTACCACCAATAAACATAACGTTCTATAGTACCGTTTTAATTCGTTATTATATTTTAAGGAAAAGTATCCATAGGTAAGGTAAGGTATTTGCTAAATATTGTGTTTTATGACATTTGTGGGTTCGAATCCCCCCTTTTCCGTTATTAATATACTTTTATAAGAGTATAGTTTAAAGGTAAAATAGGAAGCTTCAACCTTCAAATTCTCAGTTCAAGTCTGAGTACTCTTGAAATTTATCCTTTGCGAAGGTAATGTGATAATATTTACATACAACTATGAATATGAGGAATTTATTTATTTTATATGAAACTTACACAGATGGTTATAGAGCGGATATTTTAGATATTATATCATTGTCCGCAATATTATGTGGTATATTTGTTATTATTAGTAAAAATCCTATTGTATCAGTATTGTTTTTAATAGGTTTATTTGCTAGTATATCTTGTTATTTAATAATATTAGGTTTAAGTTTTATAGGTCTATCTTATTTAATAGTTTATATAGGTGCGGTAAACCAACGTATAAATTTCGCCGCGTGAGTTAAAATCTCTCTCTACAAGGTACTTTTAATTATAAAAATTTTTATCCTAAACTTCTTAAAATTACAGTCCTTTATTTATTTATTTCTTAATGCAAATAAATATTTTACAACTAATAAAGTATCTAATATTTTTACATTAAAATCACAAAAGTCTTTATTATATAAATCAAATAGAAACTATTATTCAACTCTTGCTTATAAAACTACTGTAGCCGGAAACAAAGAACATTTTTTATGTTGATTTTCAGGGTTTTCGGATGCTGAAGCTAATTTTAATATAGCTTTTTATAAAAATAAACAAGGTAATATATCTAGTGTTACTTTTAGATTTACAATTGAATTACATATTGACGATAAGGATACTTTAAATATTATTAAAAAGATATTAAGTATAGGTAATGATATTGCAGTTTACGGGAATAGTTGTAAATTTACAGTTACACACCCAAAAGATATATATAAATTAATAGAAATATTTGATAAGTATAATTTAAATACTACAAAATATTTGGATTATTTAGATTTTAAAGAAGCTTTTTTATTTTATCAAAACAGAGTTAAAACAATTAAAGATGGAGATATCTTTAATAGATTATTAGATATTAAAAACGGAATGAATAGTAACCGTATTAATTTTAACTTTCCTTTAGAACATAAAATTACTATTACTGATTATTGATTATTAGGGCTAATAGAGGGTGATGGTTCTTTTTATTTAGACAGAAGTAA